AGTGTGAAGGCAAGAGGAGAAGGGGACGACAGAGGATGAGATGGTTGGACAGTGTCATCAAAGCGACCAACATGAATTTGACCCAACTCTGGGAGGCCGTGGAAGACAGGAGGGCCTGGCGTGCTCTGGTCCATGGGATCATAAAGAGTTGGACACCACTTAACGATTAAAGAACAACAGTGCTGTGTAAGATGAAAACACATGAGGGCTGGCATGTTAACGAAGCATCCATATCCATTAAGAGTCCTCCTTAGCTGTCCTTTGGACTCTTAGCTAGTATCTGTGAAGAGTCATTTCTAGGTCAACAGTGGGTAACAAGCTCATTCAAGTGTAGAGACACAGAATAACCAACTGAATTGGGAAAGTCTTGGCTTATGACTGGATAGCTCTATGGCTTAGGTCTCTGGCTGTGGCGCCAGAGTTTGGGCATTCGATTCCCCACTGGACTTCCTTGGTGGCCTTAGGGGTCAGCTGCACAGTCCAAGGGCACCCCCAGAAGAAGGGAATGGGAAACCACTCCTGAGTATGCAACTACCTAGAAAACTCTGGAAATGTTACCATAGATCAGAGTTGATTTGATGGCACCTTATTATTATTATGCCCAGTATAATAGAAGAGTATGGCCCACAGTTTGATGGGTTTATAGGCACACCACTTCTGGTATTTGGGGGGGGGAGGGAGGGAGGACAAAATGACAGAAAAGATAGCTGTGAGGTAGTGCTATTTACAAATCTGCATTAACAAATTGATTAATGTATGTACATATATAATGATGATTGTTTTATTTTCCTTCTTTGATTTCAATTAAAGTAGAACCTATTGCTATCACAGCAGTGACTACACTGTTGCTATTTATCTCTCTGATTTTGTTGGCTAGAATTCTGCTACCTGTGTGCTGATGGTAAATTGGCATAAATCTCACTGGTGGATTGGCACAAGTTAAGAAGTCTGCCTAGGCTGTGTGCCTATATGGATGTCTTAATTCGTGGTCATTAATTACTGGAATTCACCAGTCTACTTTTTCAATGGACGCCCGCTCCTAATATTCTGTAATAGCTCAGTTAAGAAAGTTGGAATTCAAAGTTTTAAATAAGAAGTAGAAAACAATGGAAGAACGACTTCATAATCCAGCAGCTCCTGTGCATCTCCTTATCACACCCGCTGGAAATAGATCCGAGGCTTGCGTGGCTGCAGTGTCGGTTCCTTCCATATTTGAAGCTCCTGATGCTGTCATCTCAGCCCCACTCAGAACCCAACTCCATACGTCTCCATGCTGCCGTTGTAACAGACAAAGTGGGAGTTCACAATGGAGTCTCGTCACCTGGGTGGGCCATCTGACACAAGGTGATTAACAAGTCAATGCACTAGGCTGAGTTAAAAAGCTGAAGTTAAAAAGAATGAATGGAAAGCCAGCTTGGCCTTATATACTGTATATAGCAGAGTGTTTCAGAAAATCTGAACAGAGTAATTGTCATAATAAATGTACCACATGGGGACTTTGTTCCCGTGCCAAGAAATGAAGTCTGGAATCCTGCTGTGGTGTCAAATGGGTGTCTCAAAGGGAAGAATTCCTGCCAAGTTAAAGACCAGATTCTGATCTCTCTGAAGTAGTTGGATTTAACCCAGATTAACACGGAGCAAAGCACTAAGGACTGTGGAGTTATCACCGACCGTGAACAGATGGTTCCATTGTCTCCCTTTCACAGTTGCACTGTACTGAGTCTCTACTCTGTGATCTGAGCGCATGGAGGATGAACTCTGAACTGCAAAAGGAGCATTGAGTTGGAAGTCTGAGATCTCACACAGCGACTACAACACATACCGGTGGGGGCCGAGAACGGAAATGTGGAAGTGGCAGGAGAGGAGGTGTTTTTGAAGTGCACTGAAATGAACACCTGAAGTGGCCCTAGAGAATCATTAAACACAATTGGTTTATGCAGTGAAAAGTGGCCAGCTGCAGTCATGTTAGCATCAAACATAGGCGCCCTTGTGTGATGAGCTAGAAATACCATCAAGCCAAGCCAAGAGGACCTGCTGCGCTGCCTGGGGATACTGGGAGGTGTAGTCTATGATGTATGGAGGAGGCACGGACGGAAAGAAAACAATAAGAATAAAGCCTGCCTCCCTGCTGTCTATGTTCATAGCGCTGAATCTCGAAAGCCATTCCCTTCACTTCCCTCCCGAGCGGATATTCTAGATGCCAGTTATGCCAAGTGGTTTATCATTCAGGTGGCGAATCCAGGACTGTGTAACTTGCCCAATTCCACATAGCCTGGTTCTTCTCCCAGAAGACACAATGGAGAATTGAACTCCCAACTTCTGGGTATGCAACTCATCATTACAGTTGGTGCTCCCTCAAGCTGTGGGAAAGATCTGATTGTCGTAGTGCTCTCACCTCTGTATCTTGCAGTCCAGCAAGTTCTGCTTAGTGACTGGGAAGTAAACAAGTCTGATTGCCAAGCCACGTATGTCGGAGGAACTCCTGCGGCAGGAAGAAAAAGGGAACAATGCATTTTCCTTCAAGTTTGCTTTGACCCCCCAAGTGCCGGAAGCTGAAGATGACAACAGAAAGCACAGAAGAAGACTATCACTCCCTTCTACCCTTGGTGGGCTTCCCGGCTGGTACATGTGGTTTGTCATTGTTCCCCATCAAGCTGAACTGAGAGGATGCTGGCCTTGACTGAAGGAGGCTCTCTGAATGTTCTCACACTGTTTCTACACCAGCCTCTGTGGCAAGCGGCTTTGTGTTTGATCAGGAAATAAGCTGCTCCCCACTCCCCGGTGATATTTAAAAGCTCCCCACCATGCAGCCTTCTTCAAGGCCATTTACGAGAATGTCAGAGGGGAAATAATGGATCTGGTGACATCTCCCCTGCTGGGTCAACCCACACAAGTGGGCCTCTTTCTCTCTGCCCATCTCTCTCTCTCTCTCCCTCCCCTATGGACTGTTTTCTCTCTGGAGATCTCTCTTGTTTTTTTAAAAAACGGATGCAGCTGTGTTTTTCAGGACAGCCTGCCGCATCAGATCACGTGCTCATAATTCTAGTCCAAATGCCCAAATGGCCACTAATATTAATTTACATTTTGTGTGGGAGGGAGAGGATCTTCAGGAATGATACACCTGAATGCCTGCATCATTGGACTCATCTCCAACTTGGAAAAGAGTGAGATGGAAGGTATTTTTGAGGGGGGGGGAGTAGGGAAGAGTGTTTTTCATTTTGATGTTTGCTCTTCCCTTGGGGTCAGAGAGCCCGGTGTTACTGCCGTCACACCAGATCCTAAAGCAGATTTCTGCCGTCTTTGTGAGTACACGATGAAATAGGTTTGTGCTGCGTGAGTTTGGGTGGCAGACCATGAAATCCGAATGCTTGCTTTATGATGATAAATTATTTGGATGATGGTTATTCACTGTTCTTAGTTTTAAATACTGTGTTTTAATGATGTTAGCCACCATTGTGTGAACATTGTTTTCAACTTCAGATATTGTCCTTCAGTGTTGTAACCTGCCTTGGATCCTTTTCAAGGCGAAAGGTGCGGTAAAGATATTTAAACCAACCAACCGACTGACCAACCAATCCCTCTCTCCCCCATCCATCCATCCATCCATCCATCTCCTTGAAAAGGACCCCAGGCGGCTTACATCCTTGAAAGACAACGTGTCAAGCTGAAAACAATGAGTATACGATGGAGGTTTACTTTACACCATTAAAAGCCAAGATTTCAAGCTGAGACCAAGGTGCCCCGGGTGCCGAGGCAGGGCGTGCTGGGAGCCTCTCCCCTCCTGACTCAAGAGGCGACCTTCCTCGGCGGGGAGGGGGGTCGGGACCAAGACTCCGCGCCCCCCCCCCCGCACCGCTCCTCGCCTTGTTGGAACAGAACCCCTTGGCGCTGGAGGGAGCAAGGAGAGCCGCCCCGTCACGCGATGCATGTGTGAACGCTGCATTTCGGGGGAAAAGAGAAAGAGGGGAGGAGGAAGACTGGGACGGAGCGGGCGTGGATCCACCGCTCGGCAGGAGGGACCGTCCCCACCAGTGGCGGCGCCCCCTCCCTCCCTCTCTCCCTCTCTCCGTCCCCACCCCACCCGCACCCCCTTTTCCTCCCGAGGGAGGGCCAGGCAGGACTGGTTGCTGCCCAGAAGAAGCCTCGGCTCTCCTGCGCGCGCGGGCCGG